ATTTTTTGTTTCCTTATTTCAGTCTCAGTGCTGGAAGCTCCAGACAATGTCTTCTTACCAGTAACATGTTCAGTATTTGCCACTTCTTCACCATTTTCAAAACAACTGAAACCTAGGGATGTGATTTCTTCATCATCATTATCATCATCTTCTTGTTCTTCAAAACCTTTTCCTTTGCCTTTAGGGAAGTCCTTTTCATTGGTTTGCTTAAATCCATTTTCCAGAGTTGGCTTTTCAGCATTCTTCCTTCCAAATCTATGTATATTCCTTGAAGCCTTTTCATTTCTATTGACAGAGCCCTTACCTTTAGGTGTGTCCTTTTCATCTCTAGGTTTATCATCAGAAACATTTATCTGCCTCTTATTATCCTCCATATCTATGTCGTCAAATGTTTTCTTTCCTGTTGAATATTCAGTTTTTGGGGTTTCTGAGGCATTATCCATTCTTCTTTTTCTTTCTTTTACTTTTTCAACATCTCTGTCACATTTGTTCTTCCAACCTTTATTTTCAAAAACTGAGGCCCACTTGCTCTTATATTTCCTATGTTTTACAAGACTCTCTGAGTCCAATTCATTCAGGTTTTGTTTAGAACGATCAAAATCATCTCCTTCTCCTTCTATGCTTTGATCAATGTTATCTTCATCACCCATCTGTCTTGTTCCTCGTCTTGTCTTTCTATTTTCACCTTCACCCATCTTCTCATTAGGATGATCTTCATTATACATACTCTTTATTTTGTTTTCATGTAACTTTTCAAAATCTTCATTCCCTTTGTTTCTCCAACCTTTATTTTCAACAATTGAGACCCACTTATTTTTATATTTCTTATGTTTCATTTGTGGCTCAATATCTGGATTATCCTTCTTCTTTAGGCTTTTGTCTGACTGTTCATCTACATTTTCATCAATGTTTTTTATCTTCTTTTTAGACTGATACTTTGTCTTACCAATTTCACCACTTTCTACTTCATCCTGACTGTTTCTTTTCTTCTGGTACTCTCCATTAAAGTCTTGTCTCCTCCAAGCTTTATTTTCAACAAATTCCACCCACTTGTTTTTACGTCTCTTATGCTCAGTATGACCTGCTGATGGATCTTTTTCATATTCAGCAGTGCTCTTGTCACTTTTGGGTAAATTTTTTGCATTAGGGTAGATTCCATTTCCATTAATGATGTCAGCCTTTCTGGAACCCACTGTTTGTATGCCAATATCTTTCATAACCTCTTTTTTGGGGTAAAGTGGCAAGAATGGCAACCTTTGAAATTCCTAAATTTTCATATCAATAAAACAATTGTATAAAAAAAGCAATCAAAATAGTCAATAATGGAGGGTAAATGCACCTTTTTCTTGCATAAACATCTGCAGAATCACAAGGATATATTTAAAGCTCAAATCAACAAGGCAAGGGATGTATTAAGTCCAAAGAATTATACAGATGTTCATACACGAAAAAAGGTGCATAAGGGCTATTTCTTGCATAAAAAGTACCACAGAATCGGTATAAATCTGCATTGTTATCTATATTTCTTAAAAAGAAACCATTGTTTGTGCCATGTTTTCCACATGTGAAGTCACTTGACATTTATGTTTTAATAATAATAAAATTACCGGAGATGTCATTGCATTTAGCTGGCAACTGTTAATGTATACCTGCCTGCAGTCAGTTTTTATGCAAGAATGCTAATTTTCTGTAATAAATTTTGCATAACTAAAATAAAATATTACACATTTTTTGAATTAATATAGAAAAGCTCAGGCTTATGCTTCTCCCAATGTTGTTAAACTGTATATAAAATGCCATGATCATCTGGTACTAAAATTGAGCCGTGTCACGACAAAACCAACATAATGGGTTTGCGACCAGCCTGGGCATCCGCAGAGTCTAATCAGGATCCATGCTGTTCGCTTACAAACCCTATAACAAGTAGAGAAACTGATAGCGAACAGCATGGATCCTGGTCAGACTGCGCGGATGCACAGGCTGGTCTGGATCCATGCTGGTCGCAAATGCATTACGTTGGCTTTGTCGTGACGCGGCTCAAATTATCTTAGTTTCAGTCCGTAACTCTATCTTAATTAGAAAACACTTTGCTTCCTATTTCAGGCTATATGTATATTCATGCATTCTTAAACAATATTTCAAATAGCAATTAAGAACTGTGAGGGTAAATAAAAATTATATTATATTTCATGCATTTTTCATGTTTTCAATATAACAAAATAATAAATTATGACATTGCAAAGATATGGCTTGATTTACAACCTCCCGTTGAACTTGTTAAATAAACTTGAGACAGCATGACAGAAGGTTGCATATTATAATTCAAATTAATACATCTTGCCAATAGTAAATATGATCAAAGTTAAACACTAGAAAAACTGCACACTTTGAACACTATATAAATATTGTCCATAAATTAACAAAAAACTCAAAACAAACTCATTCAATACTGTATCATTTTACATAAAATATCTTGCACAATATAATATAATTAGAATAGTAGAAATACACTGTTGTGCACACCCTGTAATGTCAATAAGTAAAGTCCCTACATTTATGAATTTTTCAAGCAAATGAGTAAGATTGACATAAGAATAAAATTAATGTTATTCAAGAACGTGTAATAAAACATCAAAGCTTACAACCAAGAGTGGTTTATGCCCTTATGTATAGGATACTTTCCTATATGATAATTCACCACCCGTAAGTTTTTGCATATTGTAATGCTAAATGCTCATTATGAAGATTATGACATTCTACCAACATCTTTACATAAATATATACCAATTAAATTTGACCATTATTCCCTCAAAGAACTTAGAATTCAAAACATCATACATAATACCAAAATTAAACAACCGTTATTGTATTTCTTCGCTACAAAAACTAAAAAAAACAACACCCCAATATTGTATTACCAAAGTTAAACAACCATTATTGTTTTTCTTAGCTATAAAAAACTAAAAAGAAACACACCAATTACATATTATAGATATTCGCTTTTAACCTTTAGATATGTCAAACGTCTAAAAAGTTTGATACTTACTTTTAGGATCACTGGCTCACTTTTTCTAGGAGTTGGTGTAGACACTGGGGTCGAAGTCTGGGTCATTGGAAAGGTTTGGTCTTGGAATGGTAGTTTCCGGAACTGTGGACCAGCCGAATGTAAATCTCGGTGATTCTTGCCCACTCTTCCCATCTTCGTCACATGTTCATACATTCCGGGGAATGTTTCCGTAACAACCTGTAAATAGAGTTGTTATATGTATGCCGAAATTTAATTATTTACACTTGATTTTTGTTAGATTTTTATTTTATATAAGATTACATAAAAAAATCAACACACTAAATCTAACTGTCACTTGGTATATACATGTTTATGTTATATACATATATATTATGTCAATGGCATGCTATGCTGTATCACACAAGATATTTTATAAATACCAAAAATGTTTATGATGATGTACCAAACAGGACAAGAAGTTCTTTAAATAGAATGCATGTATATTATTTTTTAATCTTAAACAAATATGTTGTGGTTTACAGCCAAACAGACTTGCTTCATCTGCTTAAACCTAAAGCTTTCTTATAAATACATTTACTAATATGTTTATCAAAGCATATTTTAATGCCTTTACAAGCTATAAGCAACTAAAAAAAATTAAAATAAATAAATAAAACATTGGAGGCACTGAGTCTATCTAATTGATCTCTGTACCTACTTCAGGGGTTAACATTTTCAAACTTGAAAGAGGATGCAGGGATAATGAACTGATTTTGTTAGCAAATATTGCACAAATTTTAAAGAATTTTGTTTGAATCTCAGCACAAAATGATAATAGGCGACGAAATACAGTGCCTGGGATCATTCATGGGTTTACGTATCAAAGGGATAAGATATGTTGCTATCATTATGAAATTACAGTTGGAAATCATAAGTGTATTATTTTCCCAAACCACAGGAAAAAATTCCTAATTGAAAGTTACAAATTAAAAATATAGAATAACAATTCTAAAATCATGGGTTCAAGCCCTACTTGGGCCTGACCATGTTTCTTCATATGGCACCGGTACTGGTTGGTTCCAAGCTGACTCGAAAGTGATAAATATAAGTTGCAAGAACTTGTTTCGCAATCAAGCTTAAAAAAATATGTTTAAACCAATTCTAAAATCTTTGAAAATAAGGGATTCTTCACTGTTATAGTGCTTAAATTTTTGAAGATGCAATCCTACTGCAAAATTTCAATCATGCATTTTTTCCCAATTTCTAACAAAACATCGCTGAAATACCCAAATTCCATGGCTATGGATCATGTTCCCAAAATCCTTGAAAAAAAAACAACCTATATTACGATATCTTAGTTAGCTTTAATAATAACATTAAAACAGTGGAAAACAAGTTTTATGTTCAGGACATGTGACCAGGTTGTAATAATATGCCAAATATAATTTGACATACAATGTAGGATTTGCAGATAAATTCAGCTATGATACATACAACATGTATACAAGTGCAAAACGGTAACAAAAAGTAACATGCATAATCGCAAGTGTCTTTGAATATGTTGTATTATGGGTCTATTTATTAATATGCACACAGAGCGTGCACTTGTGTTGCTAGTTCTATCGTTTAATGACCACTGAAGCGTTTAATGACCACTGAATGTTCCAAGTATATATAAGTGGCGGGAAGATAATGGACATGAGCATAACAATCTAAGATTAAACATACATGTATGTATACAATATACAACAAATAAACATTAAATTTCATGTAAACTGGAAGTTGAAAAAGACACATACCATTTCTGCCATATTACTTTCTTGGATCGTTTCACCAGGAAATATTGGCTCAAAATGTAAATCTCTAGAAGGACTTCTTGTGTAGTCTCTGTTGAAGTTTAAAGACTCAAACTCATGTCCTGCAAACTCACTTCCATCAGGATAACTCTCAAAACTGAAAAATGTGGAATGATATGTTTATTTTATCAACTTTAGAACGCTATTCGAGACATCTCGATCAAGATTCTAGTATGACAAAATTGTTGAAACCTAGCTTAAGGTCTTCAGCGTACCCGTTTATATACTATGACATGATGTGAACGCTGAAGACAGGCCAATTAACGTGCCAGGAATCTGACACGCTCGTATCAATTCATGGAACATGCCATGAAGTAAAGTGAAGCATACCTTAGTAGAACTATGTTTAAACTGTTAATAAGCCAAGGATAGGCATATAAAAATCTTATTACGAACATAAACTACCTAATAGTTTCCAACTGGTAAAAAATTTCAGCACTTGGCCGCCATAATTATTGCCAAAATGTTTGACCACTTGATTATGAAATTGATCATAACGGGTTAATTTGTGCGGACGGTTAAGAAAGCAGAACCTATGTGCTTCCATCTTTTTTTTTATAAATTACTATTTTTTAAAGATATTGAAAAAGGAGATTTACTGACTTTTGTATTCAGTATAATTTTATTCAAGTAATAAAAATAAAAGAAAATGAATAAAAACATTATTTTGAATTATTTATATTGAAATCATGTCAACAAATATGTTCTAAATATAGTATCCACATACTGCCAGTTTTCAATCACAACCACTTTTCAATCATCCCTGGAAATTCTTTCTTTTTGATCTTATTTGTCATGTAACCAAACTGTAAGCACATCTTGTATTTACCTTGACTACATTTATCAGCAGCAATGCCAATTATGGCGTTAAAAAAGAAAATAACAGTATTTTAGTTCAAAATATGTAAAATTTATGTTTTCCTCTAATCCTTTATTTACCTGAGTTACAAATCGCAATAATTTTCTAAAAATAATTGATTTACAGACTCAGTTTTTTGTCAGTCTGCAGAAATGGTTATTAAGTTGGACAACTGTTTCAATATCATTAAGTCGTATTGTATACTGCACTTCAAAAGCTATAATTTTAATATGTACATATTTTACCATACAATTCTTAATTGGAAGGTAATATGTCAGTAAACTAACAGTCACTTAACCAAGGAAAAACATTCTCTCTGATAACTTTTCAGAAAGCTGTCACTAGAATGGGGTCATATAGACCTAAATTAAAGATCCTAAAAATTTCACAAGAACATGCTTTTTCTGTTATGCACATTGAGATGTACATCCATACCCCAATTGTGACAGCTTTACTACTGCAAAAAGATATCAAGATTGAAAATATGGCATTATAAATAGGTTAAAATTGTTTATTACCATTTGTCTGAAGTTTAGTTTGTCAAAATTTCATCAAAATACAGAACTGATTATATTTTAACATTGTATGACAATTTTTAAGTGGTACAGTTTATATTTTGTTAACTGATTGAAAAGTGGTTGTGAAATTTTGAAGAACAGGAAAATGGGTCAGTAATGATTTGTCCTCGATTCATAATAATAATTCTGGTAAAATTTTAAAAAGTTGTTGCATTTATTAGCTGAAATGATAATATTTGCAGAATTGTAAGAGAAATTTTATTTTTATAATTTCCCTGTCAGTTATTATAGAAAAATCTGTTAGCTGATAGGAAAGTGGCAGTAAGGGGATACATGACTCTAATCGGTTCCCGCAAGTGACGTCATACAAGGTCTCGCAAGTGACGTCATACAAGGTCTCGCGTAGCTCCTAAATGTCATGTAGTTAAATAGGCAATTTCAATGACAGTATTTATATTTTGATACTTTAAATGGTATAGAACGATATTAAAATAATTGTTTTATTGCAAAATGCACAAGAATTAATTGGGACAAGGGCGGTATGCCTAAAATACGAAAGTGAGATTTTTGACGAAAGTGAGCGAAAGTAAGCAAAAGTGACTTTTAAAATTTGAATTGTACCGTTTAATAGAATTTTATAGTGAAATTTCTGTTTGTAGACGTATATTATTAGTAACTTATAATATTTCTTTTCAAAAATAATCACTATGATGATATAATCGCCATGTATTTGCATAATTTCTGTACACAAGTTCTGAGATCTTCCTTTCGCTCAATTTGAAAAATACGAAAGTGACTTGTAAAATATCAAATATAGAGTTTAAATTAAAATTTATACTAAAATTGCAGTTTGTAGACGTGTATTATCAGAAATATATAATATTTATTTTCAAAAATAAACATCCTGATGATTTAATCACCATTCGTTTGCATAATTTCTATACACAAGTTCTGAGATCTTCCTTTCGGGGGCCCCTTCCTTTCGTTCACATTGAAAAATACGAAAGTGACTTGTAAAATATTAAATAAAGCGTTGAATTGAAAGTTATACAAATATTGCATTTTTTAGGCGTATATTAATTATCAGAAATTAATATTATTTATTTTCAAAAGTAATTATTATGATGATTTTTACCCCATTTTATTTACATAATTTCTATATACAAGTCAGCAATCTTCCTTTCGCTCACATAGAAGATAAGAAAGTGACTTCTAAAATATTAAATATAATGTTTAATTGAAATATAGTGTTGAATATCAATTATTAATTTCTGATAATATACGTTTACAAACTGCAATTTAAGTACATTTTCAATCAAACTCTATATTTGAAATTTTACAAGTCACTTTCGTATTTTTCAATGTAAGCGAAAGGAAGATCACTGATATTGTATATAGAAATTATGCAAAAAAAAGGGATATAAAACTATAAATCATCATAATGTAATGATTAATTTAGAAAATAAATAATATTAATTTCTTATAATACACGTCTACAAACTGCAAATTTAGTACATTTTCAATTTAACATCTATATTTAATACTTTACAAGTCACTTTCGTATTTTTCTATGCAAGCGAAAGCAAGATCGATGAACTTGTATATTAAAATTAGGCCTATAAATGGCGATTTAATTATGATTATGGTTATTCATTATAATATATATAATAAGTTACTAATAATATACGTCTACAAACAGCAATTTTACTGTAAAACTCTATTAAAATGGTACAATTCAAATTTTAAAAGTCACTTTCGCTCACTTTCGCTCACTTTCGTCAAAAATCTCACTTTCGTATTTTAGGCAAACCCGGACAAGGGTATTTGCAAATGACAAATAAGGTTAAATCAACGTATGTCATTCTGGTTAGGTTTCGTAACGGGTCTAATACAAAACTTAAATGCCGCATCAGATGAAAAACAACAAGAACTGTCGGAGGACAGTAACGCTCGACTATTCGAAAATTTGTCACAAGGGTGTTTCATTGAGTATAATAATGCTTACCTATATGAATACATAAAATTGTCCGAAAAGGTACAAACTCTTCAAGTTTCAAAACATTCCCTTCAGTAGTTATGGAGAGACAAGCTTACATGCAAAAACTTTACCAAGAATTCATGAGTCGAAAAAGGGGCATAATTATGCAAAAAAAGCAAATCAGAGTTATGGGACTTGTACCAATCATCTTACATAATCACAGAGACCAAGTGTGTGAAGTTTCAATCCATTCCCTTCAGTAGTTATGGAGATACCAGCTTACATGCAAAAACTTAACCAAGAATTTCTAAGTCGAAAAAGGGGCATAATTATGTTAAAAAGCAAATCAGAGTTATGGGACTTCTGCCAATCATCTTAGATAATCACAGAGAACAAGTGTGTGAAGTTTCAATCCATTCCCTTCAGTAGTTATGGAGATACCAGCTTACATGCAAAAACTTAACCAAGAATTTCTAAGTCGAAAAAGGGGCATTATTATGTAAAAAAGCAAATCAGAGTTATGGGACTTGTGGCAATTATCTTAGATAATCACAGAGAACAAGTGTGTGAAGTTTCAATCCATTCCCTTCAGTAGTTATGGAGATACCAGCTTACACGCAAAAAATTAACCAAGAATTTCTAAGTCGAAAAAGGGGCATAATTATGTAAAAAAGCAAATCAGAGTTATGGGACTTGTGCCAATCATCTTAGATAATCACAGAGAACAAGTGTGTGAAGTTTCAATCCATTCCCTTCAGTAGTTATGGAGATAACAGCTTACATACAAAAACTTAACCAAGAATTTCTAAGTCGAAAAAGGGGCATAATTATGAAAAAAAGCAAATCAGAGTTATGGGACTTGTGCCAATCATCTTAGATAATCACAGAGAACAAGTGTGTGAAGTTTCAATCCATTCCCTTCAGTAGTTATGGAGATACCAGCTTACATACAAAAACTTAACCAAGAATTTCTAAGTCGAAAAAGGGGCATAATTATAAAAAAAAGCAAATCAGAGTTATGGGACTTGTGCCAATCATCTTAGATAATCACAGAGAACAAGTGTGTGAAGTTTCAATCCATTCCCTTCAGTAGTTATGGAGATACCAGCTTACATACAAAAACTTAACCAAGAATTTCTAAGTCGAAAAAGGGGCATAATCATGAAAAAAAGCAAATCAGAGTTATGGGACTTGTGCCAATCATCTTAGATAATCACAGAGAACAAGTGTGTGAAGTTTCAATCCATTCCCTTCAGTAGTTATGGAGATACCAGCTTACATACAAAAACTTAACCACAGGGACGCCGACGCCGACGCCGACGCCGACGCCGACGCCGACAAATGGGTGACTGCATTAGCTCGATTATTCTGCGAATAGTCGAGCTAAAAATGTTAAAAAGCGGCTTATAAAGTTTAGGAACCAAGAACTAGTTGAAACCGAAAGTGCAATGTTTAAAATGGGCGTCCGGTGTTCTATATTATATTTCTGGTAGATTATTTGATAATAATAATATGACAAATAACAATACATCGTAAATAACAAATAAACTGCTGTGTACAATCATATTATCCAACAGAAATATAGTTTCAATAAGAAAAATATATCCAACTCTACCTTGTTTATATGGCGATTATGTCAACAATCAATTACCGAGCAGGTGCGCGATAAATTTAATCCAAAGATGATAAATGAGACGAAAGAGTTGTTTCTAAAGACAACTTCTTTTTTATTGATAGATTTAGTTCGTTTTTTTGTGAATATTTTATTTGATCACGTTTACAACGCGATGCCGTTAAACATGAAATTACTTGACTCTTTTGATAAGAATGAATCACAAAGCAGAGATAATTTCATGTAAAATCAACTTTAAAAAAGTTACACGGATGATTATTTTAAACATGATTTATAATATTAAGTTAACCTTTTACTGCATAAGAATATTGTGAAAAATGACTGTTTTTATTGAAAAGCCTCCTGTATCAAGTTCAAACTGCTATGAAACTATAAAAAAAAATGCTGCAATACTGATCAAACTTGGCACAAATCTTTTATTGGAACATAGCCTTTGTAATAGTATGCTCAATCTGAAATTTCCTTAAGTAGTTTTTTTTTTCAGATTTTTTTTTCACAATACAAAATATTTATGCATATTCATACAATATATTGAGATATAAATAGTTCTTTGGATGATAAGCCTGGACGCGTTTAACCTTTTTTTCTGAAATTTTACATGTTAGCTATATTTTATTTATATGCAAAAACATTTTAACATTGCTGTATCATTATTGAACTAATGTTTAACATGTCCACTGTTATACATATATAAGGAATAAAGAGCATGCCATAAATATAACGCAAATAGAACATCAAATAAGGAAAACTGATATCTTAACCCTTTCACTGCCCTATGGACGGCTTAAGCTTAAGCCGTCCCTGTTATTTTCGGCGTATTTGCCATATGGACGGCTTTAGCCGTTTCTATAACAATAATAGTAATAATAATAATAAATTAATAATAATAATAATAAAAATAATAATAAATATAATGAAATTTATACCATCGACAATAATTATTATTATACTAACAATTTTGGAAACATATATAATTATTATAATACTAATAACAAATAATAATAATTATATTAATTAATAATATAGCAATTTCTTAGAAAATCCTCTGGCAAATAGGTGAACAATAAAACAATAACCCTCTGGCAGCGAAAGGGTTAACAACATTGAATATGAGATGTTAGAAATAATATATATGCTCAAACACTTACCATGTATTTAGAAAAAACGGATCATCTGACCAGTGCTTTACATAATCCTGAAGAAACGACCCTTGGAAACTTGAACTATTTGACGGACACAAATTGCTCCCTCCATTGTCTTCCAGTTTTACCGTATCCGCACTGTTAACCTCTAAAGGATTTCTAATAATATCACAGTTGTTTCTAGAGACAGCTTCTTTTTTATTGATAGATTTACCGCGTTTTTGTAAATATTTCATTTGATCACGTTTATAACGCGATGCCGCTAAGCTATGGGCAGTTTCTGGTGAAGCTGGAATGCTTTTTGGAATCATTTCTTTACCGCCTTTTCCATTAGGATTGTGAAGTGGAAAACTGTCCGTGAAAAACACTTCATCTTCTATATCACCTTCTATAAAATTATTCACCGCCAAAGGCTCTTTGCCTAGAGTCAATGACGTATAAAATGGCTCGAACATAATTTTATTACAATAGCCTTCCACAGGTATGCTTGGAACCCTTGGCCTAGAATTAGGCGATTGGTTTTGGACAGATTCAAATAAATGATTTCTCAGCTGAGAATTATTTACATTTGATAAACAATCAGGTTTTACTTTCTTGCGGCGTTTCAGTTTTTTCCTCTTTCTGTTTGAAAATATTTTCTTAGATGTTGAGGAATGTTTTGTTTGGATGTTTTTGTCACTGTAGGAATCACTTGATTGATATACTAAGCTATCAATAGCTGTGTTTATGTTCACATGAGAGTCATTACAAGGTGATCTTATATTGGGATAAAATTCAGCGGCACTTGAACTGCTATTCCTAACTTTCGGTTGAAACGTCACACTACGAGTTCTTCTATCTGATTCATTTGTTACGTCATAATACCCGTAATGTTCGATTACCTCACGTAACGGTTCAACTGAACATGTAACACGACTGCTGTCAGTTGCTTTATCTAAATCATTTATAACATTTAATGCATCAATTGCATCAACAAGAGATTCTTCTCTAGATATTTTAAATTCATGTATAGAATTTGGTGTTACTTCTCTTATTTCTTTTGACTGAGGCTGGTCAGGTTTTCTGACTTCTGATACATGGAAGCCGAGGTTACGCAGCCGATCAAATCGTTTCGACGTTGAAAACATATCCGACAGAGATCGTTTAAAAGATTGTTCTTTCTTCTGGAATTCTTTGCTGCTGTGAAGAAATGGTTTGATGTGTGTCCAATCTGAGTCGAAATCTTTACCATTGTCAAAACTAAAGTTGGGAATGTTTTTATTTCTGCTAACAGAAGCTGACACAACTTCCCCTTTCTCTATGTCAACTTTAAGATCCGCGTCATGTAATGAAGACCAATTCTATCAAAAGATAAAAGTGTTTCACTTTTTGTGTGTGCAAATTTGTTATGCTTAAAACATGTGTCGATACTTCGCATTATTGTATCAACACGTCAGAATATAAATTATGGTAAACATAGAAATTATTGTTTTCTTTGAAAGGGTTGAAGGGTTTTCCAGCATATTGCCAACATTACTTATCTCTGTTTCTTATTCCAAAAAATAAAAAAAAAACACTAGATAATTGTAAGTTATTTAAAGTAAACTCTGCACTTGTTTAACTAAAAACTTTACTTATACTATTGACATCTTAGCATCACAAAACATAGGATTATCAATATGATAGAACCTGGTGGGTTAGCCTTTTAAACAAATGATAATATCTATTGATATCTTCATAGTTGTATAGGTAAGACAGCCTTATAATTATTATGCCGTCACCTTTTTGATAAGGAAGGCAACTGGGAGAAGCAAAAGCGAAAACATACTCACCTTTCTAAACGAGTTATCCCCTTTGCGACAATATACACTTATCAGTAATACAGTCGCCATAAAAGCACATATTGTTGGAGCACCGATAAGAAAAATGGTAACCAGTGAAATTTTTGAGTCATCGGCATCGGTGGGTGTTTGTAACACATTTCTAGATAAGAGTTTAACTGGCGTAACTACCTGCAGAAAATACAAATGATTTTGATGCAAGCACGAGTTTTCTCTTCAAAGAAATGAGCAACGTATTTTCTGCTTAGGTTGTATGTGACATTTTTTCATTTTTTCCTTTTTTTTCCAAACAAAAGAAAACAACATGTAAGAAAATCTTAACTTAAAACTTTAAGATCTTATTAATTTGAAGATTTTTTTGTCTTTTCAAGTATTTATTATTTACTTTTAATTTTAATTGCATGCTAAATGATAATATATGAAAATGGTTTTCAAACCCGCAAATGGTCTTACCGGAAATGTCATATAAGCACTAGTTTCAGCTATTGTGAGACTAGAAAATATGACTACAATTTCAGCCGGAGATTGGATAATTCCATCCACCAGTACATAGAAATCCACATCAACGTGAGAAGGTTTAGATTCCCTTCGTTCCATACCAAAAATCTGTACAGACAAAGATTTTCAGTTAATATGACATAACAAACATATTTGTAATCTTACAATACAGAACACTTGCAAATTTCAACATTATAGAGCTATTGAAAACTTTAACTTATTTATCGGAAGCTCCATGAGTTTCTTGGTTGGGTTTCACGTCGCACCAACACAGAGTAGGTCATATGGTGACATTCCAGCATTACTAGTGGAGGAAGACCCAAGGTGCCCCTGTGTGTATTATTACAGATACAAACGGGTACTTGAGTAGAACCACCGACGTTAAGCTAGCTGGATAGCTTCATCGCATGAAAGAATCCAAAGTACCTGTCGGAATTCGAACCCCAAGCCGATAGGGGGCAAGTGGTTTGAAGTCGACGACCTTATCCACTTGCAAGGGACGCCCCTTTCGCTCCACGAATAATCGAGTGGAAGCTAAATGATGATATTTTTAGAAACTTTGCTGAGTAAAATATATATTAAGATATAAACCTCAACTGTTAAGTAAGCATCAGCACTGGATCTCTTCTTTCTGTTACTATCTTTGTCAGCTTTCAGGCTACCTTCGATGTAGCATCTTTGAAGACCTAAAGTGCCACACAATGTCAAATATTAAATAATAATAATAATAATAATAATAATTATTATAATAATAATAAAACGGTGATAAAGGTTAGAGAATACTGATAACAAGTGATAATACTCTTTCTTACATTTATTGAAACGTAAATATAACAACTTTTGTACTAGATTTTTATTTTAATACATCTCAAAATGACAAGGTCGTAAAGTAATTTATTAGAGAAGTGCGATTTAAAGAGACTTCATTTTTTTATGATTATATATATTTTTTATTAATTATTATAACTTTATACATATATCTGACGATACCTAATCGACCGGAAAATTGACTTTGATATTTATTGGTATTGCATACCTTCTTTAATTTGAATGTTAACTGCGTGACTGTCAATGTTGACCGAAACCTTCACAATTATACCAACAGTTAGAAGCAAATCCTTGTCAATATTCCTTGGTAATGGTAATATACTAGTGGATGTTTCTATCACTGTAAATGGCAATATAGACGATGATGCAGTAGAAGTTGTCGCCAATAATTGATCATGTGTTGATAATGACATCTGTAATACATCTTTACTTTTTGTGGAAGAAAATGAATTTTCATTTCTAACAGAAGATGAGGTTAAAGTTAACTCTGATGTCACGCTGACGGATAACTGATATCTCAAGGAAGACAAAGGAGTTGTCTCTTGCAAACCGTTGGATGATAATGTTCTGCTTGAAGGCATGATTGATTGTTTTGACGACTGATCTATATTTATTTCAACTGTTTTAGAAGGTGATATTCTTATTTGAACCCTAGAATCTGGTAGGTGCAAATCTTCCGTACGTACAATCAATGATGGAGTTGACGTAAAACTATTCATTACTTGTGATAATGCAGACGTTACTTCATATGTTAAGCTTACAAAAGTATATACTGAAAAACTTGTTTCAGATACTTTAGAAGACAATAACACTAATAATGTATACGATAAATCTGATTTGAATGTCCGTTCATCTTTTTTTGCCATAGAGACCAGAGTATCTGTTGTAATTTGTGGATTATCTGTTTCTTCTGAAACCTTTGGCGAAGGTTCTTTTGTGAAATATTGGTTTTCCAGTGATGCGTCTGAGGATGGCTGCAACTTTGAAAATGTTGAAGAAATTAATTTTAGTGTTGAATCTGATGATGGCTGCAGTGAAGTAAATGTTCCAGACCTTAATTTCAGTGTTGCGTCTGATGATGGTCGTAATGATGAGATTGTTGAAGAATTCGATTTAACTTGTGCATCTGATGATAGCAGCAATGATGAGACTGTTGAAGAACTTAATTCTAGTGTTGCATCTGCTGTTTGCAGCAAAGATGAGAATGTTGAAGAACTTAATTTCACTGCTGCATGTGATGATGGCTGCAAAGTTAGAAATGTTGAAGGACTTAATTCTTGTGTTGCATCTTCTGTTTGCAACAAAGATGAGAATGTTGAAGACTTTAATTTCACTGCTGCATCTGATGATAGCAACAATGATGAGAATGTTGAAGAACTTAATTCCTGTGTGGCATCTGATGATGGCTGCAATGTTAAAAATGTTGACGAACTCAATTTCACTGTTGAATGTGATGATGGCTGCAATGTTGAGATTGTTAAAGGATTTGATATAACTTGTGCATCTGATGATAGCAACAATGATAAGAATGTTGAAGAACTTAATTTTACTGCTGCATGTGATGATTGCAGCAATGATGAGAATGTTGCAGAACTTAATTTCAGTGTGGCGTCTGATGTTGGCTGCAATGATGAGAATGTTGAAGAACTTAATTTCATTGCTGCATGTGATGATGGCTGCAATGTTGGAAATGTTGAAGAACTTAATTCCAGTGTTGCATGTGATGATGGCTGCAATGATATAAATGTCCCAGAACTTAATTTCAGTGTTGCGTCTGACGATGGTCGTAATGATGAGATTGTTGAAGGATTTGATTTAACTTGTGCATCTGATAAAAGCAACAATGATAAAAATGTTGAAGAAATTAATTGCAGTATTGCATCTGATGATGGCTGAAATGATGAGAATGTTGAAGAACTTAATTTCACTGCTGCATATGATGATAGCAACAATGATGAGTATGTTGAAGAACTTAATTCCAGTGTTGCGCTTGATGATGGCTGCAATGATGAGAATGTTGAAGAACTTAATTTCAGTGATGCATGTGATGATGGCAGCAAAGATGAGAATGTTGAAGTACTTAATTTCACTGCTGCATGTGATGATGGCAGCAGATATGAAAATGTTAAAGAACTAAATTTCACTGCTACATGTGATGATTGCTGCAATGATGTGAATGTTGAAGAACTTAATTTCACTCCTGCATCTGCTGTTTGCAGCAAAGGTGAGAATGTTGAAGAACTTAATTTCAGTATTGCACCTGATAATGGCTGAAATGATGAGAATGTTGAAAAACTTAATTCCAGTGTTGCGTCTGATGATGGCTGCAATGATGAGAATGTTGAAGAACTTAATTCCAGTGTTGCGTCTGATGATGGTGGTAATGATGAGATTGTTGAATGACTTGATTTAACTTGTTCATCTGATGATAGCAACAGTGATGAGAATGTTGAAGAACTTAATTCCAGTGTTCCATCTGATGATGGCTGCAAAGATGAGAATGTTGAAGAACTTAATTTCACTGCTGCATGTGATGATGGCTGCAATGATGTGAATGTTCCAGAACTTAATTTCAGTGATGCGTCTGATGATGGTCGTAATGATGAGATTGTTGAAGGATTTGATTTAACTTGTGCATCTGATGATAGCAACAATGATAAGAATGATGAAGAATTTAATTTCAGCGTTGTATCTACTGTTTGCAGCATATATGAAATTGTTGAAGAACTTAATTTCAGTATTGCATCTGATGATGGCTGCAATGTTGAAAATGTTGAAGAGCTGAATTTCACTGCTGCATCTGATGATAGCATCAACGGTGAGAATTTTGAAGAACTTGATTTCACCGCTGCATCTGATGATGCCTGCAATGATGAGCAATTTGATGAAGTTAGTTTCACCGTTGCATCTGTTGACAATGACATAAATGTTGCTGAAGTTAACTTTACTGTTGTATCTGATGATGGCTTCACAGTTGAGAATGTTGAAGAACTTAATTTCACTTGTACATCTGATGATTGCGACAATGAGGTAAATGCTGAACTTATTTTCACTTCTGCATCTGATAATGACTGCAATGATGACAATGTTGAAGAATTTAATTTCACTGCTGCATCTGATGATGGCTGCGATAATGAGAATGTCGAAGAACTTAATTTCAGTGATACATCTGTTGTTAGCCGCAAAGATGAGAATGTTGAAGAACTAAATTTCTCTTGTGCATCTGATGATGGCTGCAATGGTGAGAAATTTGATGAAGTTAGTTTCACTGTTGTATCTGTTGATTGCGACAATGACATAAATGTTGTTAACCTCACTGCTGTATCTGATAATGGCTGTACAGGTGAGATTGTTGAAGAACCTAATTCCAGTGTTGCATCTGATGATGGCTGCAATGGTGAGAACTTTGATGAAGTTAGTTTAACTGTTGCATCTGTTGATTGCGACAATGACATAAATGTTGCTGAAGTTAATTTCACTGCTGCATCTGATGATGGCTGCACAGTTGACGATGTTGAAGAACTTAGTATCACTTGTGCATCTGATGATGGCAGCAATGATGAGGTTGTTGAAGAACTTAATTCGATTGTTGCATTTGATCCTAATGGTAAATATGAGAATGCTGAAGAACTTAATTTCAGTCTTACGTCTGATGACGGCTGCAATGTTGAGAATGATGAAGAAATTAATTTCACCGCTGCATCTGATGATAGCATCAACAGTGAGATTTTTGCAGAACTTAACTTCACTGCTGCGTCTGATAATGCCTGCAATGATGAGAAATTTGAAGAAGTTAGTTTCACCGTTGCATCTGTTGACAATAACCTAAATGTTGCTGAAGTTAATTTAACTGTTGTATCTGATGATGGCTGCATAGATGAGAATGTTGAAGAACTTAATTTCACTTGTACATCTGATGATCGCGACAATGAGGTAAATGCTGAACTTATTTTCACTTCTGCATCTGATAATGACTGCAATGATGACAATGTTGAAGAACTTAATTTCACTGCTGCATCTGATGATGGCTGCGATAATAAGAATGTCGAAGAATTAAATTTCAGTGATACATCTGTTGTAAGCCGCAAAGAGGAGAATGTTGAAGATTTTAATTTCACTTGTGCATCTGATGATGGCTGCAATGGTGAGAACTTTGATGAAGTTAGTTTCACTGTTGCATCTGTTGATTGCGACAATGACATAAATGTTGTTAACCTCACTTCTGCATCTGATGATGGTTGCAAAGGTGAGAATGTTGAAGAACTTAATTCCAGTGTTGCATCTGATGATTGCTGCAATGTTGAGAATGTTGAAGAACTTAATTTAACTGCTGCAACTGATGATAGCTGCAATGATGTGAACGTTGAAGAACCTAATTTCAGTGTTGCGTCTGATGATGGTCGTAATGATGAGATTGTTGAAGGATTTGATTTAACTTGTGCATCTGATGATAGCAACAATGATGAAAATGTTAAAGAACTTAATTGCACTGCTGCAAGTGATGATGGCTGCAATGTTGGAAATGTTGAAGAACTTAATTTCAGTATTGCGTCTGATGATGGTCGTAATGATGAGATTGTTAAAGGATTTGATTTAACTTGTGCATCTGATAATAACAACAATGGTGAGAATGTTGAAGAACTTAATTCCAGTGTTGCATCTGCTGTTTGCAGCAAAGATGAGAATGTTGAAGAACTTAATTTCACTGCTGCATGTGATGATGGCTGCAATGATGTGAATGTTCCAGAACTTAATTCCAGTGTTGCGTCTGTTGATTGCTGCAATAATGTGAATGTTCCAGAACTTGATTCCAGTGATGCGTCTAATGATGGCTGCAATGTTGAACATGTTGAAGAACTTATTGTCACTGTTGAATCTGATGATGGCTGCAATGATGTAAATGTTTCAGAGCTTAATCTCAGTGTTGCGTCTGATGATGGTTGTAATGATGAGATCGTTGAAGGATTTGATTTAACTTGTGCATCGGATGATAGCGACAATGATAATAATGTTGAAGAACTTAATTCCAGTGTTAAACCTGATGTTTGCAGCAAAGATGAAAATGTTGAAGAACTTAATTTTAGTGTTGCATGTGATAATGGCTGCAATGTTGAGAATGTTCCAGAACTTAATTTCAGTGTTTCGTCTGATGTTGGCTGCAATGATGACAATGTTGAAGAACTTAATTTCACTGCTGCATATGATGGCTCCAATGATGAGAATGTTGAAGAACTCAATTTCAGTACTCCGTCTAATGACGGCTGCCATGTTGAGAATGTTGAAGAACTTAATTTCACTGTTGAATCTGTTGATTGCTGCAATGATGTGAATGTTGCAGAACTAAATTTTAGTGTTGCGTCTGATGGTGACTGCAATGATGTGAATGTTGAAGTACTAAATTTCACTGCTTCATCGGATGATGGCTGCAATGATGACAATGTTGAGGAACTTAATTTCACTGCTGCATGTGATGATGGATGGACTGATGTGAATGTAGAAGAAACTAATTTCAATGTTGCATCTGTTGTAAATGGCAAAGATGAGAATTTTGATACAGAAAATTTCACTGTTGTATCTGATGATGGCTGCAATGGTGAGAATGCTGCAGAACTTAATTTCATTTGTGCATCTGATGATCGCGACAATGACTTAAATGTTGCTGATGGTAATTTCACTGCTGCATCTGATGATGACTGCAATGATAAGAATGTTGAATGAGGATCTAGTGATTGTTTGTTATAATACATGTGTGTTACTTCGCTGGATAAGGTTGTTACATCTTCAATATATAAGCTGATGGTATCCAAACTATCTGGTGAATGAGGTTTCTTTTCGGCTATGAATGCATTAACTCTAGAAAACATTGATATATCTATAATCTCAGAAGATGAACGATGTTTTCCTGCTATTGAAAGTTCAGTTTCGGATTCATTGACCGATATCTCACGCGATGAGCTAATTGACATATTTTGCATTTGAGAGTTCTTATATTTTGTGAAAGATAATACAGTTTTTGCAGTTGTATCGATTTGTACTGTATTTAAGAACGAATCACCTAGTGGCTTATACGGTGAAGCCATAGATGAATGTAATAAAAAATCTTCAGTATAATTCGTAACTAAAGAACTATTAGAAACAATTTCAATGTTTCGTGTATGTGTGAAAGTAGAAGGTTCTATTTTATCAGTGTATGTATGTTTCTCCTCTGTTGGCGTAGCAGATATGCTTGGAAATTCTGAAACAGTATCTTGTAATGCAAACGACGATGTAAAAGTAGGATATGTGGAAAACACTGAAACAGTTGTGTCAATGGTGGTCTGATGCTGTGTTATCAGCGTTTTATCTGATATAGTCGTAGTGGGAGATGAATGTTGTGATAAATCTAAATCTGCATATTTTGTGGATAGCGACACTTTTGTTGTGTTCACACCATGAAGAACATCTTTATTACTGGTCATTTCAATTGTACTTGTTTCAATAAATCTAGGTTCTATAGGCAGTGTTGGTTCATTATGAGTCTCGGTAGTAAGAAATTGGGATGATGACAATGTTACTCTTTCAGATGATTTGAGAGATATAGCGTTTGAAGATGATATCCCTGTATCTTTAGTTTTGGACCTCACAATAATCTCAGTCATTACTAAAGAAGGTTGATTGCTGTCCATGACCGATGATAATGCAAACTTTTTAGTGCTCAACGATGATTGAATCTCGTTTATTACTGGAGATGACGGAAATTCATCCATGCCTGAAGATGGGATTATATCGTTTTTGATTAAAGAAGATATTGAAAACTCATTTTTGTTTGAAGATGATGTGTTTTCATTTAAGATCAAAGAAGGAGAAACATTCTCAATAACTGACGGTAATGGTGACTCTTTCATTATTGACAACGGCATAATCTCAGTTTTAACTAAAAAGTGTTGAACTCTGTCTATGACCGAAGATAATGAAAACTCTTTCTCGCTTAAAGATGACTGAATCTCGTTTGTAACTGGAAAAGACGGAATTTTATCCATGCTTAAAGATGAGGATATTTTGTATATCACTGAAGATAAAAATGACGGAATCACGTTTATAGTTGAAGAAGTAGAAATCTTGTTTATTGCTAAGGAAGTTTCATTCTCAATTATGCTTGTAGATACCATTATCTTTTTAATGACTGAAAAAGTAGGAACCTCATACATGACAGAAGGCAATGCTGACTCATTTATACTTGAAGATGTTGAAGTTGATAGAGCATCGTTAATGACGGAGTAAGCATTCTTGCTTATGGTTGAAGAATCCATAGACTTCTTTAAAACAGAAATAGAAGGAACCTTATGAATGACCGAAGGTAATGGTGACTCATTTATGCTTGAAGATGGCATTATCTCAGTGATGACAAAAGAATGAACACTGTAAATGACCGAAGATGATGAAAACTCATAAATTCTTGAAAATTTTGTAATTTTGTTTGTTACAGTAGATGTCAGAAATTGATATATACTTGAAGATGAGGAAATGTCGCTTATATCTGGAGAAACAGTTAACTCAGAGTAAATAACATTTTCGTATTTGCTTGAAGATGAAATGATTTCATCTATTACTGAAAAAGAAGGATTCTCGTAATTGATCAAAGATGATGACAACTGTTTTATATTTGAAGATGATGAAAATTGGTTTATGAATGAAGAAGTAGGATTCTCGACTTTAATGATCGAGGATGTCGGAATATCGTTGATGGCTGTAGTTTGAATTTCGTTTAAGAATAAAGATGGTGAAATCCCGTTTATGAATGAAGATATAGGTGACTCATCCGTACCTAAAGATGTCATAACCGCTTCCATGACTGACGTTTGAGGAAAAACGTTAATGACTGTAGACGATGACGGTATTTGATGACTGACAGAGAAATTTGAGACATTGTTTATGCTTGAAGATGTCAGATCTTCGTTTATAATTGAAGATGACGAGTTTTCTTCAACGATGAATGGACTCAAGATTGTAAACGAAGATTGCGAATGTCCACTCATGCCGGAAGTTGATTCAATCTCAAAAATGTTAGTTGACGAAATAGATGAATATATTACTGAAGTAGACGAGACATCATGCGTTCTGGAAAATAGTAATGCTTTCTCTATAGCTGAAAATGATTGAATATCAGTTATGCTCAGATGTGTTTGAAACCGATTTAAATTTGATGTAAGTAAAATGGCATGAGTGTCAAAATATGACTGAATATCATTTAAGCTTGAATATGATGAACCACTTTTTATGTCTGACGCTGAAGAACTCTTTCCTGATAACATCGACGATCTTTGTTCTGAAGTGCGAAACCACTTGGCTGATGATCTCTCTCTAAGTGATAACGTTTTTGTGTATGTCCATATAGTGTCTAAAGATACTGTATAGGACTGACTCGAGGTTTTCAAATCACTAAATGACGGCGAGAGGTAATCAGCTTCTGTTTGCAGTGTGTATGATGATAATTTAATTGGACCAGGTTCTGAAATTGTAACTCCGAGAATCGAAGACGAGAACGAATCATCATCTGACACTGCTGCCTTAGAATATTCAATAAAACTATTGAAGCCAGATGTTTCAGACGATGGTGTAAATATGTTTTGCCCTGATGTCTTTAAAATACTGATTGGTGGCGATGTTTTATGAATAGGTGATTGACCTAATTTAGAATATGATTCAAATTGATCTTGCTCTTGTGTTTTCCGTTCAGTAAATCTTGAAGTTACATCATAAGTAAAATATTGAATGGTTTTATAAGATGGTCCAAGCTCTGGTGTCTTTATTTTACGGATATTTGACAATGTTTCGTAAACATATGACTGAAATAATTCAGAAGACCATTCAGATTGGTCTAATGCCTTCAGCTCGGTAGATGCTGACGGTGTTTCACTGACTGATGACTCAAATAACTGTGAAGAGGATTTATGTTTATGTTGCTTTGTTCCTTTTTCTGTCAATTGAGGTGACATTTCAATGGTCATTGTTTTAAACAATACAGTAGATGATTCAAGTTTATTTTGTTCCGATATTCCTGTTCCATGACCTGAAGAAAATGAAGGTGTGATGCTAATTTTGTTGGTGGCAACTGAATCAAGTCGCCGCTGCTCCGAATGCAGCTGTTCGATAATTGACGGTAATTCAACAATGGTGTCTGTTAATAATATCCCTGAGAATGATTCGATTTTATCTGAGCCTGAAACCTTTGGTGTATCTGGTATAAAAGTATTGTCATAAATATCAGGTAAAAATTGTTTTGAGAGTAATTTGGTGCTTCTCAAAGAAATACCTGGTTTGTAAATTTTCAATATTTCGTAAGATTTGAGTTCCTTTTGTTCTAATGTCTCCACTGCGCTAAATGACTGGATGCTTTTAATCCTGCTCACTCTCTTTATATTTCCTTCAGTTGATAATACTGGAATATCATATGCAGTAAATATGGAAGATTGGGTATATAAAGTTTTAAGCTGGTCCTCATTCACATTTAAAACTTCCGTGAATGACGGTAAAATACGATAAGTGTTAGCTAAGGGAAGTATAGAGGGAGTTGCAAGCCACTTTTGGTCCATAGATATCTGGCCATTTAATAACGATGTTTTACTATTTAGCAATGATATAGTTTCTATATATGACATCTTTAACTCGGATTCTAATGATTTAGACGCTTGAACATACGAGAAGTCTGATGGTAACACAGTCTCAATTCCAGGGGTAGTTTTGCTGAAAAGTGCCGACATTTCTCTACCTATTGACTTAAATATAGATGTAGATTCACATGAAAGTGTTTTTCTATCAACCGAAGTGCTCTTTCTAGTTGATAGCATGTCAATGTGTCCTTCTGTTTCGAAATTCGCTGAAGAATTTGACGATAGGATTTTTATAGACTGACTGTCGATATTTAAGTTTTTAGACGATAAAATATGCTGCATTTCTATCAATGGAGACTCTACAGACATCAAAGATACCGATGAAACATCTGATAATACGTCTTTTTGTGATATTTGAGATGTATCTTGCTGACTTAATGTGACAGATTCCTGAGAAGTAGAACTTGAAAATTCATGTCGAAAAACTTGAATAACTGAAGATAATTTAGACAACTCTTGATCGCTTTCCGAATGAAAATGTTCCAAGAAGTCTGGTGTAAATAATTCGTTTTCTGACTGTACAGTAAATGAACTTGTAAATGCTATAGGTGATGTTTTTTCTTGTGGCAATACCTCTGTTACTGATGATATCGTCTTTGCAACAATTATTGTTGTTTCATGTAAATCATTAAAAGGTAATAAAACAGTTTCTTTTGGAATGGATTTTAAAGGATCAGTGTTAAAATAAGATATATGTGGATTGTCGGTATTAGTTTCATAGTTTTCTGTTGATGAAATATTTAATGCATGGGTTGTTTTATATACGTTGTCATTAAACGAGCTCTGTAATTCAGGCAATTCTGGTAACAGAGGAGTCTCATAACGTGCAGATGATTTCTGTTGCCCTGAGTTGTAACGTGTCCCTGATGTGGTTGGTCGTAAATTCATTGATGATGGAGAAGACATATAATCTGTGGTCCGTGCATCTCCTGGAGAAGATATATAAGTTGATGGGTCAGAATGATGCGTTGTTGCAGAAACTGACGATTCAAAAGACTCAATAGGTAAAACAGATGAAGTTGAGAATGACTGTTCTGTGGTATTTGTAATTAAAAACATTGTTTCTGTGATTTTACTTTCTTTCCTTGTTCCACTCATATTTGAAGAAATATGTCGCTGATATGTAACTGGCTGATCAGAATTGTGTGTCTTTGTTGAATTCCGATTTTCATGAGATATTGACGGAGGAATATCATGCGTATGTGATATTTGTTCATGTGAATATTTCAATATACTTTCTCTGGACCCGTCAGAAAAAGATGAAATTAACGTGTGTGACGAGCCTGCGTTAATATTAAACTGTTTTAGAGTAAAGTCTTTGTTTACTGATGTAGTCGTTATCATATTTTGCGACATTTCTGGCTTTGTTTCATCGTTGATATTGACAAAAGTTACAGACGTGTCCGTTGCTTCCCTTGGTTCCTCTTGGTAAAAAGTTGATGAAGTTTGTGTTGCTAAATTCGAAGCAAATGGTGATCTTGGTGTTATCATTGATGTATCAGATAAGACGTCATTTGACATTACTTGTGCCGTGACATCCCAATTGTACAAAGATGAATATATCTCAATATCTGCAGAAAGTGTCTCTCCCCTAGATCCAAGCAATAAAGGCAGCTTCGGAATAATAATTTCTTTACTTGATAAAGAAGCTTCTTGAACTTCATTTGTGCTCGTCACTTTTTTAAAGCATGGTTTAGTCGTTCGTGTAGAAGACGAGAATATCACTGAATCTTTCTTTTCTGCTGTTTCGACCTTTTTAGTTGCGCTTGATTTATAATCTGAGAAAAAGCTAGAAGAATCGAGTAAAGAGTTTTTCGGTGCAACATTTCCCAGCTGCTGTTTGGGTACAGATGTTTTAAGATCTGTTCTGTCAGATAAAGAGTCCGATACGGTAATTGCTATCATTGATAACAGCCAAAGGTATCCCACTAACGAAAGTGATAAATTAGATTTTCTCTTACATAAGCAAAGTGGAATGTGCACTTTTAAAGATAACATCTCACTGGGAAGTAATTGTCTTGAAATAAGTTCTCTGTTGTTTTATATACTGTTTCCTTTTCTGTTTTGACAAGTTTTTAGAGCACAACATTGTTTCAGTTTGGAGAAAAGTATTTCCTTGTCCTCGGGTTTCATTGTGCACTGGTTTCATTTCTGTGAATATAGGAAATATAAATATATAAATGGATGCAAGAAAGCTCAATTTAAAATATTTATCTAATATCGAAATAATTAAGTAAGTTTTAAATATTTGCTGTATTTGTTCTTAGAAAAGTATTTTGTTAAGTAGTGTCTATTTTGTTATAATGCTATGATATGACAAAGTATCGCATTAACGAATAATGATAGATTTAAAAGAAAGATTCATACATGGAAAAAAACTAATGAAAAACCAATCCAAGCGGCTAAAATCTTAAAAGCAAGAAAATTTTTGATCGCAGAAAAGGCCAATGTTAAAGAATTTAGCTCTATTGGGACCTTTTCGGTTATGCAAACAAAATGTTCATTTATTGAATTTTCATGAATCGATTCTAACAAATTTAAAAGCACACATATTTTTTTTACTAAGATGCCTTATTACATTTTACACGGAACATTAAAGCAATCATATCATTAGCAACAGTTTGAAATTCTATAATGATATATGTTTGATTCAAAAACTGTAATTTTTATTTTAGTAAAATATTTCCAATATACATGTATGAAATATGTTTGTATACTTCCTTAAAGGCGAACGGCGCATGCATGAGGTCATTGATAAACGGTTAAAATTCTTCTTTTATAGCAGCCTGAACATTTTATTCTTTTTACATACAATAATCATGCATGTTTAATATACATTCTATGCTACCGTTCTTTGGAGAATCAACCACAATATTATCGTAACAATATAATTTTACTGTAAATATATTTTATAAATAACAGTTTTATAAAATATAACTTTATACCCTTTAATTTCACGTTGAATCATATTTCTTTCGAAATTTTGAAGAAAAAAATATGAAAAAGGACGAGATATCTTTGAAAGAATACACATCAGAATGTTGTAAATATGAGATGTTATTTTAATAAAATCTTTCATCATATAAAGTATATAAAGATACAAGAAGATTAGCATGGGGTGCATGCTGTTTATTTGTGATATCTGCTTCAATGAGTGATTGTATTTATTTTTGTATATTTAATCATTGCCCCTTAACGCCTCATGCATTTTGTCTGCATCGTATGTAATAACAGCACTGTTTTAGCTCTTAAGTGTTCAGATAAGATAACGGATATTGGCGTAACAAGTTTTGCAGCGAAAATTGATTGTTTTTTGTTGGAATTAAGAATAAGGAGAGTAACGCCTTTCATTCGTTGGAATGATTAGCTGTTTAGCTTTTTTTCCTTGTTGTTTTTTATGACATCTATCTTTATAACTGTTTAATTTGTTCGATGACAAAAGGTATTTAAAGGAAAACTTCTTCAATATATTATTTTATATATTGGTTTATTATATAAAGGCCAAAAAATACCTTGTCAAAATCTGTTTTGTTAAAAGTGGAACATATGTAAACAATGAAGTTTCTGATAGCTTTAGAACGGTATTCAGAGGGTTACGGGTCCAAACTTCAGTAAGACTGCACATTTGAAACAAAATGATATATGAATGATTGATTTGTAGTACAATAAGTAACTACATTGATAGTTTAACAATAAACCACGATAGAATTATATATGGATGTTGTTGAAAAGTGAGAGACATATGATCAGAAATTACATAGTTTATGTTTACACGGCAGATAATGAAATTTTCTAGAACAAAATATTATCTTTCATCACATAAATGTTCATACTATATCACTTAGAGCTTTATCAAATTTTGTTTTCAAGTTATATTTTACAAGAATATCCAAAAGGTACATTTTTTAGATTTTTATTGTTTTATAATTATCAGTATTTAAATTAGTCTTAGAAAACAAGAGCCTTTGTAGACCAAACAACTTTAATACTAACATTATATTCGTCTATGTCACATTTAATAGTTAATGATGCTTTTGACATTGCTACTGGGCATAAATCAATCAATTGCTCTTACCTTAGTTGGCAATAGTAATATCCAAATATTCTATTACTCCATAATTTTTCATCCACATATTAAACTGTAAATGTAATGTTAGAACGCTCACTCAACTGTTTGCTTTAAGGAAGCAAAATGTTTAAAAATAGAAATTTAGATCACGCAAGTAAATTGAATAAATAGAAAGTACGGTCACAAACTATTGACACATTTTACAATATTAAACCTCTTCAAATGTTATGTAACACTAATAATTTACATAAAAAAGTCAATGAAAAAAATTATAACGCAATGAACAAAAATTGCGCTGAGAGATCGAAAGTGTTAGTTAAGTATTTTGAAGTAGCAATTGTTCTTGACAGATTGAGCCGTGATAAATTCTCTGTGATATACCAGACACAATTTGAATAATAGCTTCCTTCTCCACTTCTAACTAAACTTGAAAAAACGTCTGAAATCTAATAATAGCTATCCAATTCATAGTGGCATGGAGAAAATATGATGAATTGTGCATTTCTGTTTTTTTCCCATGCAGTGATTTTGATATTTTGATAAGAAATCCAAAAACACACTCAAAAAACGTTAATTATAGAAATTAACCAAAGTCTTACTCACCACAGATATGCAAAAAAATCAGTGTTTATATAGATTTTGTTGAGTTGCTATGCAGTCTGTTTTTTCCCTACAACACGTTTTCAGAGCTTTTATATCTTATCTTACTCACAAAAAAATTAATGAATATAAGAGTTGAGTTGCATTTGAATTGTATATCATATCTTTATAAAACATGATATTTCGTTATTTATTCCCCGGCAAAAAAAGAAGAAAAACAAACAAAATAAAAACCAAATAACTTGCAAATACCAAAAAAAAATCAATAATTAAATATCTAACTTGGTTGAGACGATTTAATTGGACGTCTTCTATCTGTAGTGTGTAAATAATTGTACAATACCATAAGAAAAAATATTTAGTTCCCGTCAATTACAAAAAAAATACTAAAAGCAACATAAATACATGTATATCAGCTCTCTAGTTAGAGAACTGATAAAACTTTCAACACTATCTTAACTATTATATTAAGCTAGCTATTACTTGAGAATCCAAAGACAGATCATTAGAAAAGAATCAAATTTTTGACATTGTTCGGACACATTATGAACGTAATGTTGGAGACTCAAGTTTGAGTTATTTTGGTATCTATAAATGTATCTTTAACAATAAATATAATATGCAGGCAACCATGCAAATATAAATTTTATTAATGATTCGTTTTGGGATTTTGAAAGACAAATGAAATAAACGTCTAAAATGAATGAAGCAAGACGGTGCTGGGGTGCATGCTGTATTTTCATCCATGTTTTATATGATCAGCAAGGATATTAACTGTACAATTTTGTCTATTTTTTGACGAGGGATTTCACTCTATTTAGAATTTAAACTATCCCACTATCAGTGTTATATGATTATACAACTTTAAATCTTATAGCTGCACGCCTCAAGTTTAGCTAAAAGAAATCAAGAAAAAAATTTTTTACTAAAGATTTTAAGAAAATTAGAAATATTTACAACTCAAGTAATTAATAACAGTAATAAATTACATTCTATATGCAATTAATGAGTGGTTTTAAAGTATTTTTCATCATATTAGTTATTTCTACTGCTTAACTAACGCAGTAACTACTTTTGCTTTGCATAATTTGACATATATTTGGTAATTGTTCGTAGAATTTATATTTTAGTTATGTAGCTAAAGTGTTCATAGAAAGTTGTTAGTCTGAAATCAGTCATAAGACCAAACTTGAGACCATTTTGCGTTTCAAAGAAAATTTCCTCCTTTATGTTTGACTCTCATGTTACGACTCTTTTAATTTCTGAATAGCAATCCTGGTGGACATTTACACATTGCGAATAAAAGGGTCATTCATTTTAACTTTTCACAGGAAAATGCATTTATTTATATATAGTCTACAGTATTTGACTAAATATAAAAAAAATATTGAAACGGTCTTAAGTAAGTCCTAATGTTGGTTTTATGTCCTTATACTGAGGATACACTTAGGATTTTCTATGAAACGCACCCTGATCGTTCAAAACATTTATATACTTGCACTTTTTTTTATTAATTCAACGAATAAAAAAGTACTTAAAACGTTTGTATGTGTAACTATACCATTCGGTCATGAAGTTTTAATGTAATTTTTTTTGATCTCATGCAAGATTGTAAGTGAATTAAAATTAGAAATAATTGTTAAAAGGCTGTATAATCCTACAATCACAGCTTGAGATATGGTTTCCCTTTCTACTTTCGAATAACACGCATTTGGCTTAAATGCTGCTAAATATTTCCGCGAAATATGAGGCGTATTTGGCTTTCTTTTTCCATCATTGGTGTAATTAGCAATACAGATTAAATGAATGGGACAATTTAAGCTTTAATTGACCACAATTACGTTTGCAGATAGGATATCTGTCTTGTTTTTTTTCTATAGAATATATATGGCTCCCCAACCAGATTTTCAGATATTAATAATATGAGAACAGATGTCAATCGGAACGTCCTCGGCTATTATCTTATCCGAAGACTGACGGAAAAGGCCAAAAAGTTGAGATTGGAACAGATGTTACTACGACTGCCTTTAACTGCCTTTTATCAGATATTATATTAAAAAGTTACGAAAAAGAATATATATAAAGTTTCCTTATGAATTTATACAAAGAGCGTAGAAAACAAATTTACAAATACACGCACATTTTTTTTATATTTCATGCCTAAACTTATAACAATAATATAATGACATAGTTTAAACTTTAAATTATTGGGTAAACGCTCTTCGGCAGTTCTAAATTCTTAAGTTATAATAAATAGATCTGCAGGTATTTTCCCGTAACTAAAACTGTCAGAAACACATGCATTTTTGGATTATTTTTTTTTTAATTTATTGTGACGCGCGAAAGAAATAACGATTAGATCAGATAGCCTCTTTCTATTACATATAACATTCATGGCTAATTATAACTATCGTGTACAATATACCAGTAGTGGTTTAACTATGCAATCTTCAGACAAACAAATATTTATTTATTTAACGTAAAT